GCGTAAACAATGTGAAAACAGGCTATTAGTAAAATATACCTTCATTTATTTTATCTGCGAGCCCGTTTATCACCGAATGTCAGCGTTTTCTAATTGATCGGCGATTTCCCTAAGGTATAGCTCTGGATGTCTGAGAATTATTTCACATATTGCCAGTTCCTCATGCTGGTAAAGTGTTGTGCTACAAAGAGGCCTCCCAAACTTACGTAACGTTACCAGTATTAATAAACAGGTTGAAAACGCGATCTACTGTCCTTGGCGAAACAAACAAATCGACAGCAACTCTGGTTGAAGACCTGTTATAAAATAATTTCTGCCACACAATCCCCCATCTTATATCGTCTGAATACGGCTTAGGCATTTTACAACAAAAATATCCCAACTGAGCAATAACCTTGAAGCAATTTTGCAGCGTTTGCATGCGTAATTAGATATGACACGTGATGGAAATATGTGGTCACATGTCACAACTATTTGTATATATGTATATATTTTCGGACAACCTTTCCTAGATCCACAATATATAAATATATATATATATATATATATATATATATATATAATAATATATATATAATATATATGCATTGTAAGAATGTTCATGACGACGATGAGATGAGTTGTGTGGCACTTGGACATTTGATATGTTAAGAATGTACATGCATTCGCACTGATAAATACGTAAAATCGATCTCTCGCATTCAAGCTGATGAACGCTTTGGATGGATGTATGGCTTGGGTTGTGTGTGTGTTCCTTTCTCCTTTTAAACCGCCTCCTAGGGTCCCAAGGCCTAGGCACTCTTAACGAGTGAGCTGGTGAGGGAAAGGGACAAATTTACATTCTTAGGTTTGAATATGCCCGTCAAGGGTGAGTATAGTAAACACGGAGAACATTTTTGCCTATATATATATATATATAAATAATATTATATATATATATATATATATATATATATATATATAATATATATATATATATATATATATATATATATATATATAGCGTATAGGGTTGACACTTTTGAACATTTTTGCCTATATATATATATATAATATATATAATAATTATATATATATATATATATATAATATATATTATATATATATATATATATACACCCATTTGCAAAAACGTTGGCCGCAGATAGACATATAGATAGATACTCGAGATCTAATTAGAATTGCATATGTTGTGTAATATAGAAATTCCCTGCAAATGTAATCATATGCAATTCTAATTAGACTTCAAGTATCTATCTATCTATCTATCTGCGGCCAACGTTTTTGCAAATGGGTGTATATATATATAATATATATATATATATATATATATATATATATTAATATATATATATATAAAATTTGAAATGAATTGGAGATTAAAACCTAAAAATTGTTGATTAAAAATTTAAAGCATTAATATGTAATGTCAATAACAACGTAAGTATATATATATATATATATATATATATATTATATATATATATATTATATATATATATATATTAATATATATTATATATATATATATAATATATATATATATATAATATATATATATTATATAGTAGGAGGCAAAAGTTTGAGTCCAGTGACTGTATTTCATTGTTTTAGCAGCATATATTAATATTCTACAGAAAACTTTACCGATAAGTGAACTAGAAAAAAGTAAATAAGTAAACAGAAAAATACATGCTTTACAACAGCTATGAGATGTTATGATATTCATTTTTACGTATTTTAATGTGCAAACATGCATTTACATGTCATTGCTTAGTTCCCTCTTTTTTGCTCTTGAAATGACCTTTATTCTTGCTCGCATAGATTCCATAGGTTTTTTAATGTCACACGTTCAATACCTTGCCAGCATTCGTTGACCACTTGCCTCAAGTCAGCCTGGCTGGCGGGTCTGTGCCTCGCCCTCTTCCGGTTAAAACGGTTCTACAAGTGCTCCATAGGTTTAGATCTGGAATATGAGGTGGAAAGCCATGACAACGAGATCACTAGAATGAGTTTGCTTCTAAAAGATTTCTGGCACATAGAAGATGTGCTTGTGCTTAGGGTGATTATCATGTAGTTAGACGTGCGATCATCTTTGTGCCAGATGAAATTCCATGTCCTTGAAGAATTGGATGATACTTTTCTTTAATTAGGATCCTATTAAATCTTTCAATATTGCCTAACCGAGCATGACCAAAGCAGCTAAAAGTTTGCTTGAGTAGGATTTAGTTTCTTCGAACCTCTCCAAGGTTAGTTGCATACCACCTTTTAATTTCACTTTTTCTGCGATCTTACGAGGAAAGAATCCTTCAATACTTAATGCAACTATTTGTCTTTGTGCACCATCACTATGCCCTTTCTCCCACCCATCTTGGGCAGTGTAAAGGAATGAGAACTTTATTTTGTTATAATTTAGATCATTAGGACCAAAACAGTGTGCAATTAATATAGTTTACATTACTGAAACACTAGCACGCATGTCTTATCTCGAATACGCTGCCAGGATTTAATACTGGAATGCTACAACGACTGGACTCAAACTTTTGCCTCCTACTGTATATATATTTTTTTATTTATATAATATATATATATATATTATATATAATATTAAATATATATATATATAATATTATATATATATATATAATATATATATATATATATTTATAAGATAAAAGGGTTGACACTGGCTATAAAAACGTAAAACAACGTTTATTTACAAGTTAAAAGACGTTTCGGTCAAAAATCTAAGACCTTCGTCGGTTAAAATGGTGTTAAAAATATACTAAAGAGTAACATAAATGCCAGGTAATTTATTTAGATTTTTGACCGAAACGTCTTTTAACTTGTAAATAAAAGTTGTTTTACGTTTTTATAGCCAGTGTCAACCCCTTTTATCTTATAAATATGACTACTCCTGGCTGCAACTTTAGTATTTTATATATATATATATATATATATATATATATATAATATATATATATATAATATATATATATATATATTTATATAATATATATATATATAGGTATACAAATACAATTTGGTTTTCTCCTTCAGCCGTATAGTGCTCTACACTAAAGTGGAGCTGGGTTAAAATTTGAAATGAATTGGAGATTAAAACCTAAAAACTGTCATTAGTCATTATTTTCCAATCTATAGCGTATCTGAAGTTATTATCCTTTAGGGACCAAATGTATTTACTTAGCTCTGTCGAGTTTCTCTTGTTATTATCTCGGAATGAACATCTATGATTGTTATAACGTGTTTTGAACTGATCACCAGTAAGGCCAATATATGTCTCCTTTTTGTCGTTGGTTTTCACATGCAGTGGCCTGGTAAATGACATTATCGCGTAAACATTCTCCTTTCATTGGGCAATTGGGTTTGGATCTACAATTACACATTCTTTCCGCTTGTTGTGGGGTTTCTTTAACGATTGATTTGTTGTGGGAGTTAATTTTTCTTCCCAAATTGGGCATATGGATAGTATCCTTCATATTATGTGTTTTCTTTTGATGGGTGCTATATGGTAGTGAATATTTATTAATAACACTATTTTCTCTGTGAGAAATTCTGCAGCTGTAAACTTGTTGATTTGATGTTATCTGTAAAGACATGGAAAATGAGATTATAATTAAGTATTGTATTAAATGACAGTCAATTTATGAAACATGGTAATAGCAGACTCAGCCAGGCCATAAGTAATGATATGACATGACGTAATGACCACACAGCATACTTACCATGTGTTGTCACTTGTCCCAATGGGTCAGGCATGTCCATGTATGTGGGATCAGTCCTTTTCAGGACTGACACACATATATGCACCATTACATGGTGCATTGTTTCTAGTCATGCAAATGTTTAGTAGTTGTAAATGCAAATGTTTACTAACCGTAACTGGTAACATTTTGAAGTGTATTCATCTGTTTCACAATTTACATTATATGCCACAATAGCTAGCTATATTAAAATTATATGGTGTATTGTATAATAGGATGTTATGTTTAGATAACTATAAATTTGACTTTCACAGCATCGTGATCTGAATAATAAACACTGAGGACATCATTTTCAATTATTTCAACTGTTGTAGATCTGATATAAATATGATCTAATAAACTTCCAGAAGATACAAATGTTGGCTTTGTTACAATTTGAATATAATTTAAAGAATCCATTATTAATTTAAGATGTTCAATTTGTTTATCACTGAAGTACTTAATATTAAAATCACCAAGAACAATATCAACAGTAGTACTTGTAAGTATGTATCTCAAGCATTCTATGTATTGTGAGACATTAGAGTTCTGTTTTTGATAGAGTAGAAGAATATTTTGTGTTCCACGGGACATGTTGTTAACCAGTTCATATTTGACTGCATTTAGTGAAGGAAAATATTCAAAATCTCCAACATTTACAGTATTTTGTGTACAGATTGCCATACGTGAATATTTATCACTGACATGGTCTTGACGGTACAGTTTGAAGGGTCGAAGTGTATCAATAATTTCATTGTCAGAGTCAGAGGAGAGCAATTGAGTTTCTGTTAAGGATATAACATCACTAGCAAAAAGTCTTGAATCACTTTTCATGTCAATGCAATGTTTTTTAAGAGATCTGATATTTAAAAGTGTTATGGTGACAGCATTACTATGATGTTGCAAAGTAGTGGTTGGATGACTAACAATACATTCTTTCCTTAATCTTTCATATTCTTCAAGAACCTTTGGGTTTGTTTTCACATGTTTACTAGCAATCTCTCCTAAAATATGCAGACCTTGTAACGAAGTTGCTCCGCTTAAGGCAACATAAATTTGTCCATAGTTAAATGATCTCTGATTTACTAACTCCATGCTGACTACTACTTCATCAAGTGTTAACCTTGAACTTTATGTACAGTACATGCCCAAGCTAGTGTCACAGGAAATTGTACTCTCTGTATTTCTGGGGATGATGGTTTACCTGGTCTTATTTTAATCTTCACCAAAACAGGTTCAATTAATTGGGACAACTTGATGTTCTCTTGCCAACAGGTTGCTAGTAGTCTTAAGAAGATTTTTACCAGCATTTGGATCATCAAATTTAATGTAAACAATGGTTGGTTTCTGGTTAGTTGGATTGACATCAACTTTAAACACAGTTCCCATTTGTCCATTGATAAGTTTGTCTGCAATGCTAATATTGCTTGTCAACATTACTCTGGCACCTTCCTTGATGTGATCATGAATTACTAAATCAAGTCCACCTGTTTCAGAACGTTTCCTTGCAAGAACTTTATCAATATCTTGTTTCTTCACATTTGGTGGGAATTGATCTTTAGCTTTTAGAACAAACAATGGTCCAGCAAGTTGTTCTAATTTCTCATTATTGTGTTTGTCAACTGATGAGTTCTCTGCCCAAATATGGAGTGCATGTGATGGGTAATTAGGGTCATCTGGGGATACTGATCTTGATTGGATTACCTTTATATCATCTGTCTGGTTAGCAGTTCTTATTCTGTTAAGAAGTTCAATAAATGCTTTATCATTTCTTTGTCTCATGATTTCTACGAGTTCTATCATTTGGAATACTCTCCATGGATGGCATAAATTATAAATATTATTTCTGTAAGTATCAAAAACAAACTTCTTACGTATTGGTGGTAGTTGACAAAGATCACCTACGACTATGATAGAGATTCTTGCAAATAACAGAGAACTTGGTGTACCAAATATATCTTTTAATCTCTGATGAATATTATAAAAAAAGTTGTGTTTCCTACCATAGAAATTTCATCAACAACAATAAGCTTTAACTCTGACAATGTTAATCTTAATTGGGTCTTTCTTTGGTCAGACAATGGTGGTACAATATCACCAGCTTCTTTAGGAATAGCAAGACCAGTATTAATTGTTGTTCCATCAATATTTATTGCAGCTACACCTGTGGGTGCCATTAGCAATACAGTTGGTAACTCAGGGTTAACAGGAGGGTGTCTAAACGTCTTAACTGCTGTATGGTATATTGTTTTAATGACATGACTTTTTCCGGCACCACCACCTCCAGTCAAGAACAGATAGATTGGATCTATGTCAACTGGTTTTAGACTGTTCAAGTTCTTCATTTTATTGCGACACCATGTGAGGAATGTATCATATGCAAGACGTTGTTGTTTGTTTAGTGATCTGATATTTTGACGTAATAGATCATCAGAGATTTCTGTTGGTTGGTGATAAGTTGCAATAGCTCCAGGTGTGGATTCATTATTACATTGTGCTGGATCAAGATGTGATGGTAACTGTTCATTGAACAATTCATCTTGGTTTACATCATCTGGCATCTCATCTTGTACATCTGCATTTTCCTGATCATTAAGTGCATCAAATGATTGACCAAGGTTGCCTTGGTTAGCTTTAAGTATGTCAAATGCTTCGCTAATGGCATCTGCATCAGGTTCAAATATTGATCTGTTGAGTTGTACAATTTTTTGAACATCTGCTTCATAAAATTTGGATGTATATGTTTGGTTAGAAGCCAACAAATTATTTTCATGTCGCCATGGGTAATAGCATAAGTAGGTGGTGGAAGTATAATTCTGGTTGTTTCTTTTTATTTGGTGTATGGTATCTTAACACAGCTTTCACTTTTCGACGTTTCATGTACTCATTTTTGTTAAGCAATTTGATTGTTTTTGGTAGAGCTTGTACTCTATTGGTGATTGTACTTTGGTTTTCAATTATGTCATCTGTTAAGATATCTGGCTGGCCATCTTGTGTTTCACAGTCTAGTTTATAATCTTTGTAATAGTATGCTGCAAATTCTGCAAGGCACATGCTATCAACTAGAGCTATAGATGTTGGTCTAATGACATAACGTTCAACAATATTTGATTTAAATATATCTGTACTATCATCATCTAGATCATCAAGTTCTTCCTGAGTTTTAGTCATCCGGACCCTCTGTTCTGGGAGATTTGTGTTGACAAATACTGTTCTTGGAAATATTTTCCTCAACCAAAGTTCAGGCATTGCTCGGTAAACACATTCTTGTGAGCTCACTTCTCTGGTGGATAGAAAGGCAGCACCAACTTTTTTCAAGCCTTCTCTAATGCTCATATTGGCAGCTTTTGCCTCTTTTGCTGCATTCATAATAGCTTGTGAACATTCAGTCTCATCTTTAGTAAAGTACGAGCATACATATGTTATACATTTATAATGATTGAATACAGGTTGCAAGTCAACATTTGCTGCAAAGCCCTTCATACCAGCAACAAAATAATTATTAATAAAACAGCTATCTACAGGTCTTTTAAGATGTAGCTCAAAGTCTGAATCAGGGGAAATAGATAATGCCCAGTAATATTGCTCTTCAGTGATATCCAAAGACTTTAAAATATCTGAGTCACTTAATGAGGCATCATAAGTTGTTTTGGATGGGTTAAGAACTTCATCAATTTTTTGTTTGACTGGACTTAAGATTTGCATTCGTCTTTCAAGCAGGTTAGTTTTCGCTTGTTCATCTAATTCATCACTCAGAGGTTCTGCTACAATTGTTCTGTTTGTGAAGAATTGCCCAAAATTAAATCTGCAACTAACATTTTTGTATTTTCTGCAAGTTTTGGAGTGATTGTGTTTTTGATATGTTTTGACTAACTCATGTAACTCTGGTTCTATGTTTTTATCTGGAAGGTTGGCATGTACATGATTATCAATGAATTGTATATAAGCCTCCTTGCTATCAGAGGTTAACTTAGGGCAATCAGAGGTCCAGATTAAAGCATGTAAATGAGGTGATCCTCTCATTTGGAACTCAATACGAAGTGCATAGTACATTATTTTGCCAATTGGGTTACTTGCACGAAGTAAAACTTCAGTGAAGAAAGTTTCAACTCTATGTTGGAAGTGTTTTGCAACAACAACAGGATTAAGATTCAACATTGAACATCTATCGTTGTAAGATAAAGCCTGAATTTCCTCATCTGTGATGTCATTACCTTGTGTTTTAGCAATAATTTGAAATAATTCTGTCCATCTAAGATCAGCACATGACAATGTCATAAACCATGTTGGGATGCCTAATTGTTTCACCATTGCTACTACTTCATACATAAATTTTTGCCAATATGGTGGTGTACCTGGAATCTGTCTTAAAAATAAATATGCTTGGTCTTGACAAATCAGCCCTTTTAATTTATTTACATTTGATTTTATTTCAGATGCAGTGACAGGTTGTCCTTGTATTTTTTTCATGGCTATGTTAATACTGTCAGATACTTTCTTTTGTTCTGTTATAAACTGGGCAAAGAAAAGGTATTCCGGGTTGGTTGCAAACCTTCCACTATAATGTAAAAGTCTAGCATTGAAGTATTTTACTGGTGACAATTTAATTGTCCGTTCATGTGTGAAGCCAAATCTACCATTTGGAAACAGTACAGGAAATGCAAGCTCTTCACAATTTTTATCCATCATTAATGAAACAGGGTGTTTGTTTTCACCAGGTGCAATGTTATACACTTCATTGCCTAATGAGCAATTTTTACTGTTTTGTGTTATTGCAATTGGGTAATCTGGTAATACAGATTGTAAACAGGTCTCATTAGGTGCTTGGCGATACTCATTTAATGGGTCATCCTGTTCTTCAACATCATCATGATCATTTGGATCTGAGACATGATGTTGCCTGTTATCTGACAGATTATTTTTGTTTGTTGTAAGATCATCATGGCATTGTTGCTGCTGAAGACTTGTCACATTATCTCTAAGACTGCTAATATCAATTGTTATGTTATGATACAATGGGTTGTTGACCTTAAGCCAGTTCAAGGCATTCAAAACAAACTGAGGGCGTACTGCCTGCAGGGGCGGACTGGCCCACAGGGATACCGGGAAATTTCCCGGTGCGCCCCTGGTTTACATGACGTTTTGCATGGCGCCCCATTTTGGAAAAAATTATGGAGGAAATGATAAAACCATTGAAGTAAAACACAGGAAAGATAATCTGATCTAAATCATGTATTTTGAAACTCAACATTGTAACGATCAAACTCGACATGACAACACACACATTTTCAATAACTGTTTCTCATGTTAGACCTACAGATGGGGCCCCCTTTTTTAGTTTTCCCGGTAAATCATGTATAGGCCAGTCCGCCCCTGACTGCCTGGAAATAAACATGACCCCTAAATTCAAGCTTCCTTTTTAGCTTCAACATAATGATACCAGATCTTTCTGGTGGATGAGGTAAAATTTTACAGGACTGGTCACATTCAACAGGCACATTACATATTGCTCTTTTTACTTTTTTCTGCTGTCCTTTTGGCATCACAATAATTTTTTCAAAAACTATTCTTTGTGCTAGAAGAATCTGCTCAAGCTTTTCTAAGCACAGCAATTCATTTGGTATGTCATCAACATACATGTCATTATACATACGGCTTGACATGGTGTTTTACCCTTTGAGACTTTAGAGTGGCATGTTTTGCAAATGTACTGTTTTTGATCGAACGATTTGACATTGGTGAACACATTTAGCATGCTATTGTCATATGTAGATTTTTGCAATAAAACAACTGATTTCCTGTACAATAACCGCTGACAAACTGAACATACAAAAAATGGCCCATCTCTTATTTTTGACTTAAATGTTGATATACAGTTATCTAAGTCAGATTGCTTGGACTTGCACTTCTTATATTTCTTCTTCAAATGTTCATCTTTTTTGCAGGGATCCATAGAATTATATTTCTTAGCACGTGTTCGAAGGAGAACATTCTTTTTTAAAGGATCCATTGAGCTATATTTCTTAGCACAGTTTTCAAGAAGAACTTTCTTTTTTAAATCACTCATTGATTTGTATTTTTCAGTATTTGTATCAAGAAGGGCTTTCTTTTTTAAAGGATCCATATATTTATAATTTTCTTTCCGCTTTGCCAAACATTGTTTTTTCTCTGCAGGACCCAAATTTGTATAATCACTTTTGCGTTTTCCTGACATTGTTCTTTTCTGTTCAGAGGATTTAAGTTTTCTTACTACTTTCTGCCTCTCTGAATTTGACAACTTGTGCGAACAAAATAAAAATTGAACATCGTATGACACATTTTGACATTTTACTTTACTAGAAAACTCGTAGAGTTTATCAATTAAACAATTTGGGGTATCACAAATTTCAAACCCAATTTTCCTTAGCATATCATTGTATGCAATAAAATAGTATTTTGTACCAGATTTTTTATGGTTGAAAATGCAAGCTAAACAGAAATCAGAAAACCACACCAAAAACCCAGTGTTGTTTGCAGTATTTTGTGAGATTAACTTCACAATTAAAGTACAGCTTTACTTTGAACAGATAAAATACCCTGTTGTCTTGTTGTGTATACTATGTCAACCTCAGCATCAAGAATAAACAATCTTTGTGGGAAGTCTTCCAGATATGTAATATTATTTTTAATGTTCAGGGATTTGTAAAATAAGATAGCATTTTCTGCAATAGCATCTCTTGTGGAATCAACCCAGTATGTAGATGATTTAATTGTAGAAAAACAAATAGAGTAAATATATATTG